GCCCTGTCCCTGCTGTTCCCAGTTCCCAGGGTCAGGAACAGCCGCCCTGTCCCTGCTGTTCCCAGTTCCCAGGGTCAGGAACAGCCGCCCTGTCCCTGCTGTTCCCAATTCCCAGGGTCAGGAATAGCCCCCTGGCCCTGCAGAGACTTTGTGGTGCGCGTGCCCCCCTCCCCACACCCCCTCCCTGACCCTGCAGAGGCTATTGCAGAGTTAATATATGGCTCCCCTGCCCCCGGTGTCGGACACCATTAAAGTGTTTGTTTGATATTTAATATTTAATGTTTCAATATTTGATATTTAACAGCGCGGGCTCCACCTCCCCCCATACTCCGCCGGGCCGTAGAGTGGCGCTGCGGGCGCTGCCCAGGCGCGGCCGCTCCGCCCCTTGCGACTCTATGGTTTTTAGCGGTGTTTTAGCGTAACCGGAAGTAAACCGGAAGTGAACGGGGCTCTTCCGGTTTAGCGGCGCGGCCGGATCTGTCTGGGGATTCCTGAGCGGTCCCAGAGGGTCCTGGGGTGTCTGGGGTTCCCTGAGCGGTCCCGGAGGGGCCGGGGGTGTCCAGCCGGGGGTCTCTGAGGGGCTGAGGGGTCCCCGGGCCGGGGGCCCCGGCGCTGCCGCGATGTCGATGTCGCACCTGTACGGCACGGACGGCGCCGATGGCGTGGAGATGGAGAGTTTCGAGGTGTCGGACTGGGACCTGCAGAACGAGTTCAACCCGCACCGGCAGCGGCACCGCCAGACCAAGGAGGAGGCGACCTACGGCGTGTGGGCCGAGCGCGACTCGGACGAGGAGCGGCCGAGCTTCGGCGGGAAGCGGTACGGGCGGGAGCGGGGCCGGGCCGGGCTGTGCCGCCCCTGAGGCTGCCCCGGGCCAGGCAGCTCCCCTCGTGCCCTACAGGTTTCTCCTTCCCGGGGAGCTCCCCCCATTCCTTTTGGGTTCCTCCCGTTCCCTGGGTATTCATCCGTTCCCTAGAGCTTTCTCCTTTCCGTGAAGATTCCCCCGTTCCCTGAGGATACCCATGCTGTGCACAACCCCCTGAGCAACCCAGCCTGGCCCCTGAGCAGCCCCCCTGCCTTTGGGACCCCTCACCTGCGGGACTTCCCCTTTGCTCCCCATCCCTGCAGTCCGGGGAGGTGGAGGGGCACAACCAGCGTCAAACAGCTGGACCATCTTTAATATCTCATTTTGGGCGGGTATAAGGCACAGCAGCCCCCAGGCTCCCCCAGGAAGGTGCTCTGGAGCAGCATTCCCTGACGGCGTGTTTCTCAGCTCCAGGGATTACTCCGCCCCCGTGAGCTTTGTCAGCGCCGGGCTCAGGAAGGCAGCGGCCGAGGAACAGTCGGATGAGGACTCCGATGAGGATGAGAAACCTGGGAAGCAGGAGGAGATCCCCAAGGAGTTTGTGCCCAAGAAGTTGAAAACAGTGAGCTCTCCAGGAAACTTTCTGACCTGTGTAACTAATGTGTTTGTGAAACTGTAGCCAAAGCAGTGAAACTACAACAGAGCACTAAAAAAGGGGGAAATAATTAAACCAGAAACCCAAATGTGTCATTAAGGGAGGTGTTTTCTCTGGCTTTTGTATAATTGATAAAATAGCAACCATAATAATAAATCATTGCTCTAATGATGGATCACTGTGTGTCCTTGGGAATCACTCCTTTCATTGTCCTTAATATTCCCTTTGGTCAGTGGAGGTTTAAGGAGAAGAACTCCCATGGTTTGCTTCCTTTTGGAGACCTATTTTTTTTAACTCACAGAACAGACAAATTCAGGAATGTCACAGATTAAAAATCAAACTCTTATTTTCAGTTAAAAGCAGAAAAAATCAGGAATCAGCTTCAGCTGAAGCTGGTGATGCAGACTGAGATATGTCAGGTTGTTGGTCTGAGCTTGTCAGGATGTTTCTCTTCCATCTGAGGAATTTCAGGAAGGTCCTTAGGTGTCAGGCAGCTTTCCTGGATGCACAAGCGAGGTCCCAGTGAACTGGGCGCTGTAGGGACAAAGGAATCACTTCTGGGAAGAGCCTTTTGAGGAAAATTCTGCACAACTTGGTTATTGCAATGCTTCAAGGCTGTGGGGTTTGTGTTGTGTTTTAACAGGGAGGAAATTTCAAGCCCAGCCAGAAAGGCTTTGTAGGGGGCACCAAATCTTTCATGGATTTTGGCAGCTGGGAGAGACACACTAAGGGAATTGGGCAGAAGCTTCTCCAGAAGATGGGATATGTCCCTGGAAGAGGTCTTGGGAAGAATGCTCAAGGTACTGTCAGTGTGTTTGGTTGTTTATTGTTAACTGGTGAAGTGGAGAAGAGAATGGATTCTTTAAAGAAATGCCAGCCCAGGGTGGCATAAACTTCATTGTTATTTTCCTGTCTCTCTTGCAAGTGATTCAGGTTCTGTGGTGAGAGTCAGGCGTGTTAAAATTGGCCCGTGGTCATTTATTCCTCTAGGTATTTTGCAAGAGAGAAAATATTGAACAAAAATTGGGATATAAGTTCCAAAGGATAAAAAAACTCCTCACGGAAAAAGTTATTTTATTTGGCAGAATAAAAAGGCAGTGAAATGTGGATGGGAATAATACTGGGCTTTGGCATTTTGGTGTGTGCTGGGATTAAGTGATTTTATAGGAAATTAGTGAGGTGGTGGAAGTACCCCAGTGCTGGGGGCAGAGTGCCAATGAGGGGCTTGGTGCTATTCTGGTAACTGGTAGGGAAAACCTGGCTGTTGTGCTCCCCCAGCACACAAACTGCTCCTCCTGACCCCTCTCCATCCTCCCAGGTATCATCAATCCCATCGAGGCCAAGCAGAGGAAAGGCAAAGGTGCCGTGGGGGCCTATGGCTCTGAGAGGACCACTCAGTCCCTGCAGGACTTCCCTGTGGTGGACTCAGAAGAGGAAGCTGAGGAGGTATTGGTGTGATTCTTCTGTATCTGTTTCCCTGCTGTGCTGTGTGTACAAACTTCAGTTCTCTTGTTAGTTTCTGTGTCAGAGAAAACAGTTTGGGCTCATTTTAGGTAAGAAGCCAAAGATTGAGCATATTGATTTAATTTAGACAGATTTTTCTCGTCACTGTAATGTTCTTTGTTGGTTTTGTCTCAGAATTCCACCTTCAAAAAGTCCCCCCAGGTAAACAGTCTTTGTCTTTTATTTAAATTAAAGAAAAGACCACAAACACCCTGTAAGCACAGGCCATAGGGTGGGTGACTGACCCACAGCATCTGTGGTGTTTTGGCACTCAGCTTCACCACTTCCCAGTTATTTTCTGTACGGAATTCCTCATTGATCTGATGGTTATTGTCCTGTAGAAAGAGGCAGATTTGGGGCATGGCAAAGAGCAGCTCCCACAATTTCCTGTTGTTTTGTTCAGGAATTTCAGAAGGAGCTCAGTCAGTGGCGGAAGGACCCGAACGGAGGCAAGAAGAAGCCCAAGTACAGCTATAAGACAGTGGAAGAGCTGAAAGCCAAGGGCAGGATCAACAAGCAGCTTGCAGCCCCTCAGAAGGAACTGTCCCAGGTCAAGGTAAGGCTGATACCTGAGAGGTGACACCTCTGAGAAACGCTTTGTCCGCTTTGGTGTCACGGGTGCATTTTAGCCACCAGTAACCTTGGTAAAGCCAGTTCTAGGAGCTGCCTGTGCAGCCTTTTGGACTCATCACTGAACCATGTAATAGCCCCCTGTGTCACCTGGACATCAGGTTTGGTTTAAAACATGTAAATTAGATTAAATGTGGGTGGATTTGGATTTTTTGAGTTGCAAGTTGTTTAATTGTTTTACATTAGTCATAGATCAACACACACCCACTTCTGAAAGCACAGTTGTCCTTTTTGGGATTATGCAACTAAACATGTGGTTTGAACCTTTTTCTACCTCAAGGGGATGGTAAGGGATTTGTCTGGTGTGTACTTAGTAAAATTATTAATCTAAAATTACAATGTCTTTAAAAAAGGTATAAAAGTACCTGAGTGCACTAACTAATAGAATACTAATGGCATGATCACTGCTTGTAGAATTACTCAGTGAAACTGAGAGGAGATGGAGGAGACTTTTCCAGCTCTGATTCCAGATTGTCCCTTATTCATTCCAACTCCTTATGTCTGGAGAAGGCCATTGTGGAGGCAATCCCCTCTTGGAGATACAGTGTGTATTAGCAGCCTCCTGGAGTAATTAAGATTTTAATGTGGAGTCGGGGATTACCTCCTCCTTTAAATGTGTTCAGAAAGTGACTGGATGTGGCTCTCAGTTCTCTGGTCTAGTTGACAAGGTGGGGATGGGTCAAAGGTTGGACTCGATGATCTTGGGGGTCTTTTCCAACCTCAGTGATCCTGTGATTCTGAGATACAATTTTATTTAAGACCTGTTTGTCCTTGTCTGTTGGCAGGTTATAGACATGACAGGCCGGGAGCAGAAGGTTTATTACAGCTACAGCCAGATCAGCCACAAGCACAACATCCCAGATGACAGCCCCCAGCAGCCCCTGGGCAAGGACTCCAAGCCCCAGGGGTTTGCCCTGCCTGAGCTGGAGCACAACCTGCAGCTGCTGATCGACATCACGGAGCAGGAGATCATCCAGAACGACCGGCAGCTGCAGTACGAGAGGGACATGGTGGTCAACCTGAGCCACGAGATCCAGAAGATGTCCGAGGTGCTCTCGCACGAGGAGAAGGCCATCAGCAACCTCAGCAAGGTGCTGGACATGGTGGAGGAGTGTGAGAGGCGGATGCAGCCTGGCTGTGAAAACCCTCTGACCTTGGATGAGTGTGCAAAGATTTTTGAGACACTTCAGGACAAGTACTACGAGGAGTACAGGATGTCAGACAGGGTGGACCTGGCAGTGGCCATAGTTTATCCTCTCATGAAGGATTATTTCAAGAACTGGGATCCCCTCAAGGTGTGTGTTGGGTTATCTGCAGTTCTCACTTGATGGCTTCAGCAGTCTTTGCTACCTTGTCTTAAGTGTCCTGGTCTAGTGGGAGGTGTCCCTGGCCATGGTAGAGGGGTGGAAGGAGATGAGCTTTAAGGTCCTTTCCAACCCAAACCAGTCTGGGATTCTGTGATTCTAAATTCTTGATGAGTCTGGAGAGAAAGAAAAGAAACAAAACCAAACCGTGCTCTGTGCCCCCTCTCAAACGTTTGCTGAGGAGTTTGTAAGGTTAAAATCAATCCTTTTTATGAGTGTTGGAAAGAAAAAGTAGGTGAAAAAAAAGTAGGAGAGGTTTGTCTGTCAGGTATCACAGATGCTCAGTCTAGTCTCAATGCCATTTAGGCTGGGATAGGTAAGATAGGCTGGCCCTGTGAGGGGTGAGAATGGTGACTGTAGCCCAGCACACCACCAGCCTGCTCTATGCAGATCCCAGCTAAAATTAATGGAAAAAGATAAAGACCTTGACTCCGAGTGCCTTCTCATTCCCAGGACTGTTCCTATGGCACAGAGATCATAGCCAAGTGGAAGAGCCTTCTGGAAAATGACCAGCTGTTATCCCACAGTGGGCAGGACCTGTCGACAGATGCTTTCCACAGGTAAAGAGCAAATGAATTGTACTTTGTGCAGCATCTTCACGTGCTGTTTCCTCAGGGACAGAAAAGAGCAGACACAAAGGAGCTTTCCTTACAATTCCCTTGCTGTGCCTGTTAAAATCCAGCTGCCAGCTACAGAAGAGAAGCAGCTTTAACTAACAGTTCATATTTGATTTATTTAGGCCTGGGTTATACTTTTGAGCTTCACTTTGATTTAATTGTTGGGTTTTTTTTCCCCAGACTGATGTGGGAGATCTGGATGCCATATGTCAGAAACATCGTGGCACGGTGGCAGCCAAGGAACTGTGGATCCATGGTGGATTTCTTGGATAGCTGGGTAAACGTTGTTCCTGTGTGGATACTGGATAACATTCTGGATCAGCTCATCTTCCCCAAGCTACAGAAGGAGGTGAGAGGAGAGGGATGGGTAGAGTGAAGCCATGCTCTGAACCACTGTTTGAATTCCAACTGGAACTTCTAAAACACCAGCTGACTGATGGGTAGAGGAGTTGGGGGTTGCATCACAGCTCCTTGTGCTTCTGGACAAGACTTGCTGGTAATGGATGGACTTACTTAATCTTTTTTGTTCCACCTCAAGGTTGAAAGCTGGAATCCGCTGACGGACACGGTCCCGATCCACTCCTGGATCCACCCCTGGCTGCCCCTGATGCAGGCACGGCTGGAGCCACTGTACTCTCCCATCAGGAACAAGCTGGCCAATGCCCTGCAGAAGTGGCATCCCAGTGACTCCTCTGCCAAGCTCATCCTTCAGCCCTGGAAGGATGTGTTCACTCCTGGCTCGTGGGAGGCTTTCATGGTCAAAAACATTGTGCCTAAACTAGGTGAGACCACCAGACAGTGCTGAATTTTGGGAATCTGCTGGTTGCACTTTCCCCTGACACCCAGGAAAGATATTCATTAATGTGGGTGCCAATGTTACTTCAGAGAATGTTATTAGCAAGGTTAGACCAAGCTTCCCTCTTCTTTTTTTGCTACCAGTCCCATGAAGAGGCAGACAGCTTAGAAAAGTAGAGGAATTACTCTGATTAGTCTCTGTGTTTTCTGTCTTACTTTTTATAAAGTTATCCAATTCCTCAGTTCTTCAGCTAGCAGAAATATCTGACAGCTGTCAGGTAGGACCAGGCTGTAAGATGTCTCTCTGTTGCTCCTGAACTCCTTGGTCTGTGCTAATGCTTTCACATCATGAGTTTTGTAACGTGAACTGGCTCAAAGGCTAAAAACAGTCAAAGGTTTTAAGTTTCTGAGTTCTGGCAGCAAACTGTAGTTACTGGAGGAAAAAATGCACTGTTTTGGTGGCAGGATCAGCCAAAGAGTTTAAAAATCCCCAGTGTCCCTTAGTGCAATGAATAGGTGCTCCTCAAATCATGTGTGTTGGTAGTGAAAGATGTCAGGGCACTGATAAACCTGAGTCAGGTTCTTTTCTAACTCTCCTCCCCCTTTTCCAGGGATGTGTTTGAACGAGCTCATCATCAACCCTCACCAGCAGCACATGGATGCCTTTTACTGGGTGATCGACTGGGAGGGGATGATTTCTGTCTCCAGCCTTGTTGGGCTGCTGGAGAAACACTTCTTCCCAAAGTGGCTGCAGGTGAGATGCTGTGAGGACTGAGGAAAGAGGTTACTGGGGACTGTTTTAGTGACTCCTGACCAGGAATTGCTGCTGTGATGCTGAAATGGGCTGATTTCCACTCACAGCTCTGTACCCATCAGAGCAGACTGTCCTCAGATTGTCACAGCACTTCCTTTTAGTGACAGCTCAATAATAAACTAAGTGGCCTCAAGCTGAGCCAGGGGAGGTTTGAGTTGGATATCAGGAGGAATTTCTTCATGGAAAAGGTGTCCAGGCATTAGAAGGAGCTGCCCAGGGAGGTGGTGGAGTCCCCATCCTTGGAGATGTTCAGGGAACAACTGGATGTAGCACTCGGTGCTCTGGTTTTGTGACAAGGTGGGGATGGGTCAAGAGTTGGACTTGATAATCTTAGAGGTCTTTTCCAACCTGAATGATTCTGGGATTCTGTGGCAGTGAGGCCTCTTTTCCCCAAACCTGTGCTCCCTTTGACATGTCCCTGTGTTTTGCAGGTGCTCTGCTCTTGGCTCAGTAACAGCCCCAACTATGAAGAGATCACCAAGTGGTACCTGGGCTGGAAGTCCATGTTCTCAGACCAGGTGTTGGCACATCCCTCCATCAAAGACAAGTTTAATGAAGCTCTGGACATCATGAACCGGGCCGTGTCCTCCAGCGTGGGTAGGTGGCTCATGGGGGTGACTCTGTTGCTCTGGGATGGCAGCAAGGCCATGTGTGGCTCCTGGGAGGCTGATTTGGGATGGCCCTGCTGTCAGCATGACAGCAGCTCCTATGAGCAGTGAAAGTCGATATGCTTTGCCTTGCTGTGTCCTTAAGTAACACCTTGGAGGTGCTGCTCAATTGTTCTGTGCTGCACTGAAGCAGAAACAGTTTTGGTGGCTGCCTGGGCCATTAAATGACTGATTCTCTTCCAGCCTTGCCCTGTTACAGTGGATTTCCTGTCAGACACCCTCGTTTATGGGTTGACTTCTAAAACTGTAATTTACTGGCTTTTTTTCCCCTTATAGTGAGATTACTGGTTTGTTTCCTTAGCTTTAAAACAGTGCCCTCTCCTTCCACATGACTCTCCCTGTGACCTAAAAGAGATTGTTAGGATTTCACAGGGAATTACACTGTATAAAAGGGAAGGCCATGCCTGAAGGAACAGCACCTGGAATTTGCCCTCTATCAAAGACTGAGATATCCTATCCTGAGCTCCTCTTGCCTTCTTGCTGTATGGTGTGACAGAGTCACAGGTGACTCAGGAACTTATCCAGGTGGGTTTGGAATGTCTCCAGAGAGGGAGACTCCACACCCTCCCTGGGCAGCCTGTTCCAATGCTCTGCCAGCCTCCATGGAAAGTTCTTCCTCAAGTTAAGAGGAAATGTCTGTGTTCTAGTTTATGGCCATTGCTCCATGTCCTATCACTGGGCACCACTGAAGTCTGGCACTATCCTCACACCCCTTGGAGATATTTGTGTGGATTGATAAGATCCCCTCTCAGTTTCCTCTTCTCCAGACTAACCAGGCACAGCTCCCACAGTCTCTTCATAAGGGAGATGCTCCAGAACCCAAACCATCTTTGTAGCCTCTGCTGGACCCTCCCCCGCAGTTGTCTTGAACTGTGGAGCCCAGAATTGAACACAGCACTCCAGATGTGTTGATGTCTGTGTGTCCTGGACAGAGTTACCCACAGACCTTGCACTGGGAAGAGACCAGGACCCTGTTCTCACTGTCCTGTCTCCCACAGGGGGGTACATGCAGCCGGGGGCCCGGGAGAACATCGCCTACCTGACGCACACGGAGCGGCGCAAGGACTTCCAGTACGAGGCCATGCAGGAGCGGCGGGAGGCCGAGAACATGGCCCAGCGTGGCATCGGTGTGGCTGCCAGCTCCGTGCCCATGAACTTCAAGGACCTCATCCAGACCAAGGCCGAGGAGCACAACATTGTGTTCATGCCTGTGATCGGGAAGCGGCACGAGGGGAAGCAGCTGTACACGTTCGGCCGGATCGTCATCTACATCGACAGGGGCGTGGTGTTTGTGCAGGGGGAGAAGACGTGGGTGCCCACCTCCCTCCAGAGCCTCATCGACATGGCCAAGTGAGGCCCTGCTGGGGACCCAGAGACTTCCCGGGGAATAGCTTTGGTGTAACTCTTAGAATAAAGAAGTTACAGGTTTGTAAATAGTGAAACTGAAGCTGTTTGCCAGAATGGTTTTCTGTTCTGGAAGAGCTGTTCAGGCAGCGTCAAGAGCAGGTTTCCCGACCTGGAAACCCAGGCTGAGGGAGGAAAAAGGAGTTCCAACACGTGTGCAATTGCCACCTGTGACAGAGGTTCAGCAGCAGGTTAGAAGGGAACATGGGAGGTGATTCCCTGATCTCAGAGATGAGCAAGGGCTGGTCTAGCTCAGTCCCAAGGGTCTCCAGTGACAGATGTCACAGCTTCTGCTGCCTGTGCACTGCGCTGGCAGTGAGTTGCTGTCCCCATGCCCCTCACACAGTGGGCTCCTCTTTGCCACATGCAGCCAGGACCTGTCCCACCTCTCTCCCTCAGCCTGGTGCCTGTGGGCCATCAAACACTCCAGGTGCTCCCTCTGCCCTGTCAGTGCAGAGCTGGAGCAGGGGGATTTCTCCCAGCAAACTCACAGAAGGTGCTTTGGGACCACAGTGGTTCAGGGCACAGAGGTGAAGGAGGAAACCCGAGGCTCTTCTCCCTGGAGGGAGCTGACCTGGTTGTTCACCAAACAGATGGAGAGCTGAACTCAGCAGCACTGAGCAGCTCTCGGAGCTTTTACAAGCCTGCACTGGGAACTAGATACCAACACCTCCAGCTGCTAATTCCTCTCAGATAATTCCCTCTTCCTCATGCTTTGAGATGTGAGTAGTATGTGCAAAGGCCTTGAATTGTTCATGCAAGGGGAGAGAATCAAAGAGCACTCACTGCAGTACAGATGGTTCTAAAGGCAGGTTTTAGGGGAATTAGTTTGCTGTAGTTCAGTGAGTACAAGTCAAAGCTCAGCTTTAGATTTTATTAAATAAGATACAAAAATGTCCCATCACCTCAGCGTTCAGGTGCTGCCACTTTTGGCAGAGCCTGATGTCAGTGTCACTCTTGAGCTTCATCTCAGCTGCGCAGAAGCTTCCATGGGAAGAGATATGGATCCAAGCCCTCCTGACACAGGGAGCAGTCAGGACTGGGCAGCAACTCTGTCCTGATTCCTGATGATCTCCAGGTCCTCGCAGTCTTGATATGTCGGCTCTTCCACAAAGTTCCAGACCTCAGGGGAGAGTTCCTGCAGTTTGTCCAAGGGAAACCAGTGGACGGAGGTGTCGTTGAAGGTGTCCAGGTAGCGGGGGGTGACTCGGGAGCGCCACTTCCTCTGTCCCTTTCAAGACCTAAAGAGCGTTTGGGAAAAAAGTTACAGACGACACAGAAATCCCTTTCTACAAAGCTGAGTCAGTGAGGATGAGGATGGTGTATGTTACTCCCAGCCCCTGCGTGCAGGGTGTTCTGCAGATGTTGAACAATCCTAAGGCAATTAGTTTTTATATCGCAGGTTTTAAAAACAACCACCCTCTTCTTTCCAACTGCAGTTCATTTTCTTTCTCATTAAAGGTGCTTTGTCAAAACAAAACAATAATGTTAAACTATTGCCTCATACCTTTGCTATGTAAGAATAATCTCTCTCCAGTATTCTGGACAGCAACCTGGAATAACAGAATGTGCCCATGTTAGACACGAGGTTCCTGTGAGGCGGGTTTTCTGTACAGGGGGGTGGAACAGAGAAGGGGAAAGAGGGCTCATGACTGTAAACCTGATGGCAACGAAAATGAGCAAAACAGGGACCTTGCTGTCACAAGGAATATAAGGAGTAGAGGGAGGGAGGAGAGGAAAGTGGGGTTGGAGGCATCAGAGCGTCTCAGGGGCATGCACAGACCTCTCCTCGATCCCTCGGAAGCTGTTCCCGATGATGACCAGTTTGGAGAGTGCCGCTGGGCTCCAGTTGCTCCACAGCAGGTTGTTGTACAAGGCCTTCCCGCAGTGCACCATGTAGAACAGCGTGGCCGAGCCCCCCACGCCGTGTTTCCCCTCCTGCCCGAAAACCGGCGTCTCCCGTCACTGCTAAGCCCCGGCCGCGGGGTCCCCAGGGGCTCTGGCCCCGGGGGTCCCGGGAGTCCCGCTCACCTCATTCTCCGGGAGCAGCCGCAGCCCCAGCGCTCCCAGCGCCGCCGCCTCCCTCGCAGAGAAGGCCGGGTCGAACAGGGCGCACCGGGCGGGCGGCACCTGCGGGGCAGAGGGGCGGCGTGGGCGGGGGCCGGCCCGGGGGCTGTCCCCGGTGTTCCCCGGCCCCGGTGCTCACCCGCAGCTCCTCCAGCAGCAGCAGCAGGAAGGCGAGCTGGTACCGGGCGGCGGGGCAGGCGGCGAACCGGCCCAGCCCGTAGCAGACGCAGCGGGCGGGGGGCTCGGCGGGGCCGCTCAGCGGGGCCCGCACGGCTCCTGCGGGCGCGGGGAGCGCGGTCAGCGCGGCGGGGACGGGGCCGCTTCTCGCCGCCCTCCGTCACCGCGCTGCCCCCGCACCTCCCGTTCCCCCTGCTCTCCCCTCCCGCTCCCCGCACTCACCGGCGCTCGCCGCCCAGAAGCCGGAGCTCAGCAGATCGTCCCTGCGGGGAGAGCGCGGTGTCAGCGGGGCGCGGCAGCCCCGGGGCTGGAGGGGACGCACGGACCGGTACCGGGCCGGGAACTCACCGCGCCTCCCGCAGCCGCCGCAGCACCGCTTCGGTGCCGGTGCCGCCTTCCTCCTCCTCCTCCTCCTCCTCCTCCTTTCCCCGGTCCCGGCCCCGCCGCCGCCGCCGCGCGCGCGCCGCGCGCCACCCGCCCGGCGCCGCCATGCGCGGTCACGTGCGGCGGTCACGGGACCGGCGGGGGCGCGCCCGGAACCGGCGGCGGGAGGGACCGCGGGGTCCCGGAGCATCCCGGAGCCGCCCGGAGCATCCCGGAGCCGCCCTGCAGCCATGTCCCGGCCCACCGAGCCCGGCCCCGCGCCGTGGTGAGTGAGCCCCTTCCCCTCCCGTCCGTACCGCCCGGACACCGCCGGACACGCGTGGCGGGTGTCCCGGGAAGGCGCTTCGGCCCTTTGCTGGCCGGACCGTGCTACGGTCACCGGTCGCGGCTGCAGCGCGGAGCGGAGAACCCGTCCCGGGGTCGGGAACCCAGCAGGGGCTCAGCAGCTCCGTCCCTCTCCCGGAGTCATTCCAGGGCCATGGAGAGGCGCCCTGGGAACGGATCCAGCCTCCTGCTCCTGGTCCGGCCGTAACGCGGGTTCCGGGGTTCCTCGGTACCACCTTGGAGCCGTATTTTGCCTTTGCCCCAGACCTGGGCTGTTCCTGCTGGAATACTCCTGGGGGAAGCTTGTCCCGAGATGTGACGACAGGAGAGGACAAAAAGTGTTATCAATATGTGAATCCAAGAAGTTAAGAGTGGAATAACATTTTGTCTTCCGAGGGAACTCTCTGTCTCATGCTCCTCAAGGGCTGTTGGGTGCAGGCAGCAACTGAATTAATAGTAGCAGGTCTCAGGAATTAGTTTAGAATGCACGTGGATAATGCTCAATGACAATTACTCCTTGGGCTCAGGGTAGAATATCTCACAAGTCCGTACCCTTCCACCTGTCTGAGCTGCTGAGTTATAGAACCTATTTTAAGCCCATAAAAAAAGGTCAAGTTTAGTTGTAAGGGACACTTTTGGTGCTGCTTTTGGGTGTAAACTTAGTGTGATTGTGCAAGAACAATGTCTCTCTCCATTTGTAATAACCTTTAATTGCTCCTCTTGAACTAATAGAAAGAAGACAGAGAAGTGCAACAGTTTTCAAATACAAAATAATTCCTGGTACTGCTTTGCTTTTTTAGGTGGAATTACTTTTTCCTTTACGACGGCTCAAAGGTGAAGGAGGAAGGAGATCCTACAAGTGCTGGGATCTGTTACTTTTATCCTTCTCAGGTAATGTCTGCTCTCATTTCAGTACCTGTAAAGGGGTATTGTGGGTCAAGGCTGATAGTTCTGGATCAGGAATGGTTTGGTTCCCAGGTGGAAATTCAGATTAATCCCTGTTTAGTATTCACAAAAGTTTTAAGAAATCCTGTACAATTAAATCCAGGTGGAGTGGAGCTGGGCTCCACCTGGCTTGGGACACAGCAGTGGGGTTACACTCTACTCCCCCACTGTGGAATGGTCCAGCACAGTCCAGGTCTGTCCTGGTGATGTATATAAACACACATGAGAGATGAAAGTTCCCCTCCATAAGATCCAGGCCCTTGTGCTGCCTGGAAAAAGCAATCCAGTTATTTTCTCCCAGAAATATGCCTGTGCTACTGTGTTTGATTCATAGAATCACAGAGTCGTTAAGGCTGGAAAAGATCAAGTCCAACCATCAACCCAGCACCACCTTCACCTCTAACCATGTCCCCAGGTGCCACTTCCACATGTTTTCTGAACACTTCCAGGGATGGTGACTCCACCACTGCCCTGGGCAGCCTGTTCCAATGCTTTACAATTCTTTCTGTATAACTGAATTGATGATTAATTTTTATTTATACCTGATTACAGTAGTGATTTTTTCCAAGTTCTCTTAAAGGGAAACTAAAGCTTCTCCTCCCTGTCTCCCTGGGCAGACCCTCCCAGAGCAGCAGGAGTTGCTGTGTGGGCAGATGGCAGGGGTGGTTCGCTGCATGACCGAAATCTC